CTACAAAGTACTAGCCATAAAACAGGCTTTCTATGAATAGTTCCACGTTGAGTGGATTCATTAGAGCAAAACTGACTGGGCATAAGGAAGCATGTTTTAACTGTTAGGAGAACAAGACACAGGAATAGCATACTCAGGAAGGCCATAACCCCTCCCCAGACAACTCAGAGAAAAGAAACAACCATTTGTCCTTAGACATCATCTGCCTAAACCCAGGGACTGGATAAGCAAGACAACGGCAAAACCATTTCTGAAATGATGAAGCCAGGTCATGAACATGTGGGAACAGGGAGCAGAGGCCTGCCAGGTCCCACCACCTGTGAGTAGAGCAATTAGACTGAGTCTCAAAAAGGAAATAAAAGTGAGAGCCACCTGTGACCACCTCCTCTAGCTCCTGGTTTTTCTTTCCCCTTAATTCCTCCACCATTTTTCATCATAGCCTAATAATAGTAAAGACGGTGTTATTGTTTGAAAATTGTTGAGAAGTCTTTACTTTGAGAGAATATGACCTGGGGCAGATCATCCCTTTCAGAAAGGATTCTGAGAAAAAGAAGTCAACAGCTAAGGGGAAAAAAATCAACTTGTGGGAATAGAGATTCCTAACATCCCCCTCCATATTTAGAGGTTGTAAATAAATACAGGGACAGGACCAGAGGCCTCCACAGAGTTCCCAAGGCAAATTCTCCCAAGGTCAGAGCAAGGACTTGCAGGGCCAGATGGAGAAGGTCAGGTGTGCCAACCTACTGCATCCCAGGCAGCCACCTGGGCACCAAGGACAGTGATATCCCCAAACTGCAAGCCACTGGCCTGCTCCCTGGGCTTCTTGCTCCCATCTGGTATCAGTGTTTATCGTTTGGCTCCTAAGGTCACACCAGCTCCCAGATCCTCTGACTGGGATTGTGACAGATGAGTGCCCTCTAGGTGCACAGAACCGAAACCTACTTTCTCTGGGCTCTCTCTTCCTGTCAAGGTTCTCAGAGGCTTTTGAAGAATTGCCACACCCATTGGGCTCAAGGAAGAGGTTGCTCCAAGGCACACAGCACTGATTTAGTGTTCACTGCCAAAATTCCCTAGAAAGGCACATTTACATCTTAATATGCACTCACTAAGTCGGAAATCCTAGCAGGGGAATGGAAAATTGAGCAGGCTGCTGAAGGGGGCCTTGGTCTCTGTACTAATTCCAGTGTGTGGTTGGAACTCAAACTCTCTTTCTTGATAAGTACTTCAGTGTTGTTGACATCCAATGTGGGGGATTAGAATCTCCCAAGTAGCTTTGGGGAAAAATGCAAATAGTTGGGCTTGCCCCTGCTGACTCGGCAGTTCTGAAATTAGTCCTTGGGTAGTTATGGTGGTCCTAACGGGTGGCCAGGTTTGAAGCCAACTCCCAGGGAGTTCAGCCAGGAGCTGGAATGCCTGCTCTGGGTAAATCTTCCCTTCCACAGAATTTTTCCCAAAATTCAGGTGAGAAGAATTATTCTGAGTTTCTTATACCTTCTTTACTCTCTTGTCAAATGGAGAATGCTTCTTCTCTCCTCCTCCCATTCTCCTGAGAAATAAACCTACTCCCCTGGGCTGTCCTCTGCCTTCAGATCTACCTACTAGGCTTCCTCTTGGAGGGAAGACTTTGGAAATAGAGTAAGAGCACATCAATTCTTCTTCCAAGCTAAAGTGGCAAGGGACATTCCTCCTCCACTCACCCTAGGAACCGAGTCAATGACCAGCTCTACTCCTGCCAAGATACCTGGATCGTCTCCCCATCGTGCCTTGGCAGGTGCTGGGATGCACCCCTCCCTGTCTGTCCATCTACAAGGTTCCCTCTAGTGTCTCATCCCTCCAAGCCCTCTTTGACCAGGGTGTCCACCCACTATGCTCTCTCCCTTTTCTGAACCTCCTTAGCATTTGTTACACATCCTAATAACTCAGCTCCTCTCTCACAGTGCCTTATACTGAACAAAGATTCACTTCTGCTGAATTAAAAGCCCTTCTCTTGCACAGAGAAGTCTCTCAGTGCCTGCTACTTGTGTCACAGGAACTTCTCATCTCTTTACCATTCTCAAGCAGAAGAGGAAATTGAAGGTTATCAACTGTCAAATGTTCCTGAATGGTTTGTATTTCAATTCTGAAAGCTAGCTGTTTCTTCAACTAGCTAAGATGAGGTACTATATTTGTAAATCACTCTGTGAACATCATTGAAGAAGACTGCCTTAAACACAAGCTTTTTTTTATCCTCATCCAGGGTGAGGATATCTTCATTGATTTTACGGGTGAGGGAGGGGGAATGGAGGGAGAAGGAGAGGGAGAGGAACAGAGAAAGAAAGAGAGAGAGATCGATGTGATAGAGAAACATCCATCAGTTGCCTCCCATACACACTCGGAAGGGGCATTGAACTTGCAACCTTTTGGTGCACACGACAACACTCACCAAAAGAGTCTTATACATGCATGTTAATTTTAGTTTAGTTTAGTTTAGTTTTTGTTTTTTCCATTGCCATTTAGTCTCCTTGTATGCCCCCCACAATCACCACACTGGTTGTCCACGTCCATGAGTTCTTTTTCCTTTTTGCTCAATCCCTCCACCCCCTTGGCCTCCCCCTTAGCTTTCATAAGCATGTACATAAGCATTTATTTTTTTTAATTTTATTTAGTTATTTTTCAAGTACAGTTTTCTGTTTATTTCTCCCATCCCAGCCCACCCCGCCCCATGCTGCCCACCTCCCTCCCATTTCCCTCCCCCCTTAGTTCTTGTCCCTGTGTCCTTCATACTTGTTCCTCCAAATCCCTCCCCTTTTTTTCCCCTTAAATTCTCTTCCCTCTCCCCTCTGGTCACTGTCCCCTTGTTCTCTGTTTCAGTGTCTTTGTTTTTATTCTGCTTGCTTGTTTGTTTTGTTTAGCTTCCTGTTAAAGGTGAGATCATATGCTATTTGTCTTTCAACACCTGGCCTATTTCACTAAGCATAATGCTTTCCAGTTCCATCCATGTTGTTGCAAAGGGTAGTAACTCCTTCTTTCTCTCTGCTGCATAGAATTCCATTGTGTATATAGTATGTACATAAGCATTTAAATGTCCTAAGTCTTCTCTCTAACTTGGATAGACAGCACCCTGCCTCTTAGAACACATCCTGGGTAGAGGCCTGGGTTTGCCAGAGATAAACTAAAAAGCACTATGCCACATTTCTATTGCACTTACTCACCAATCCCCTCATTCTTGTAGCTTTGCCCTAACATCTTGTGGGGTTTGTGCATCGGCAAAGTGCTCAGGAGGCCTGGAGTCAGACTGCCCATGTTCCCATCTGACTTCCTCCACATATTAGCTGTACTCCACTGGGCACGTTTTTTAAACTGTGTGCATCAGTTTCCCATCTATATAAGGAAAATAACAGCATATCTTCATGGGTTTATTATGAAGCTTAAGTAAATTGCTATTCCAAGTAAAGGACTTAGTAAGCTCTCAGTGTTAGTCGCCATCGTGATTATTATTAGAGAAGCAGTCTTGGGAATCAGAAGACCTTGTCCTACCTCTCTCATTTATTTGCTTTGTGACTTTGTACATATGAACCCCAAGATCTCCTTTCTTCATGTCTGAAATTAAAATGTTGATAATGCCTGGTGTGCCAATCTCACAAAGTTGCAGTGAGATTTGAATGAGCTAATACACATGAAAATGCTTTATAAACTATGAAAACTATACAAATGTAGGATAACAGATGGCCCCTCTCTGCCTGCACCTACATGATTGCACATCCCATTGTGCTTTGTGTAGTGGTTACTTATCTTTATCTGCCTCTTCTACTAGCCTGTGAGTTCCTTGAGGCAGGGGTCACGTTTTGCTCCCTCTTCTATCAACCATGGTGCAGTCTCATGCCTGCATGTGGTACATACTCAGCAAATGGGGAACTGGAAAAATAGTGGCTTCCTTGGGTGTGTGTATTTTGGTATGCATCGCAGCAGCTTGCTCCCTGTTGAACTTCATGTGCAGGACTATCTTCCTACATCACCTGTAGCTTCCCAGAGGGCACAACTGTGAACAGCATCTGTAAGAAAGGAGCTAGTCCTAGGAGTCAGGCACCCAATAGACACTAACAGTGGGGACACCCTGGCCTGCCACTTGACTCCTGAGACCTTCTTGGGCTCTGACCTCCTGTGCTCAGCCAACAGTCTTCCAGTCTTCATGAGTTCTCTGAGTTAGTCTCCATACCATTGAGAAGGCCATAATACCAGTTTACTTGCCCTCGACAGTCCAACCAGAGAAACTGAGAAACCAAGCCTCAGCATTTTGTTCAGCAGTAGAGACCTCAAGGCCTTGCTTTCTTTCTTTCTCCTTTGAACCCTTCCCAGAATGGCAAGCTTGGTTTTGGCACCTCTACTCCCTGCTCCCATATCTCCAGGGAGTCTCAGAGGATGCCATTTGGTGGAGGGTGTCCTGTATTATTCCTGTATTCTTCAAAATACCCACCTGAGGCTGTACACAGAGAAAGCACTGGACACGTAGTTGCTGATTGGAATTAAAAGTACTGAGAAAACCAAAATGAGTAGACTCATTGGGAGATTAATTGCACAGGAGCTTGTTGACCACATGACTGAAGCTGGATTTCTTCGGAACCGCTGGCTGCCTTCACATTTCCTGGTGGAAATGGGACAGGTCAACAGAGTCATAGATAACTTTTGCCCACACATCATTCACTTTTTGAAGCGTTGGCTTGAAATTAAGGGGTGTATGTGAGTGTGCGTGTGTGTAACTGACGTGCCTTCCGTGAGCCTCAGCGGTCTCCTCACTCTCTTCAAATGAGCTGATTACAACACAGAGGATGTGGACAGTGGAGTTTTTCCTGATTGATGTCACACTGCTACCCTTTAAAAGCCCAAGGAAAAAGGAGGGAATCCAGCCAGGGATCTTCATGCCAGATCCCCGCCAAGGAAAAAGAGGAGAAAAAGACCAGGGTGGCCAGCCCTGGAGTCCGGGAGGCAGTGTCAGGTTTCACACTCGGCGCTGGCCACTCAGAGAGCAGTGATGTCGGGGGCCCGCTTTGGGTTCCTGGTCTGTGTCCTGTGCTGTGTAGTCAGAGCCTATCCCAATGCCTCCCCGCTGCTCAGCTCCAGCTGGGCTGGCCTGACCCACCTGTACACGGCCACAGCCAGGAACAGCTACCACCTGCAGATCCACAAGGACGGCCATGTGGATGGCACACCCCACCAGACCATCTACAGTGAGTAGGGGCTTCATTCCTGCTGGGAAGAAAGGGGGCTCCTCTGTCCGTCCCGCTGCCAGGGACTTGGGGAAATCTTGAGCAATGATAGAGGGCTGATACAGCCTCCTAGTTTCTTAACCTAGTGTGCTCAAAGGTGCACTCAGTAGCAAATGAGTGAGTGTGGGACTCTTTGACAACATGAGCAACTGGAACGTTTTTAAAGACTAGGTTTGTGGAAAGTTGGATCATAGGCCACAGTAGTCAGTTATCTATGATTCCTATGGGGGCCCCTTGGTATGCACCTATATAAGAGGGTGGAGGATATTGAAAAAAGTCTTCTATTTTATGAGAACATGTAAAACTAACTCTAAGGATACAGGAAACAACATGCTGGTTTGATATAGATAAAATGAAAGGGATGAAAGAGTAATCGGAGTCTCTGATAAGTAAAGAAACCATATAGGAATAAAAATACATCCTATATTGTTGTACTAAATTATTTAGTGATTTTGCAGTGGACTTGCTGTGTGCAAGGCACTAATTCTGATAAGAATCAAAGGTTCTTAAGCCTGTTAGCATGATATATGCACCTGCAAAGCAAATAGTTCAAACCTCTTCAAGTGTTCATGAATGGTGTTAGGTTACAGGAAGGAGAAAAGGTCTCTTCAAATATTTCAAACATCAAAAAGTTCCAGAACCCAAAAGAATACAGTAGGATTCAGGAGTCAACATCTTGGAAGCCAAATTTGAGTCTAATGGCAGAAAGTGAAACAAATCTGGATATTCTTGATACATCCAAAGTGCTGCTCATTTTATGCAATGGGTATTTAACAGAAACTACAATGTGTCTCGCTTCATGCACAGCTCTGTAACTGCAAAGGAAGACACAGCCCTTCAAGCACTTCTTCTTGTCTCCTAGCTCATTATCAGACCTATAGGAAATGCAACTTTTGCAGCTCCCATGGAGGGAGGGCTACCCTGCAAGATGTAGGGTAGCAAGATGCTCCCATCTCATCTTCCACTGCAAGATGAGATGATAGCTGATTTAAAACTCACAAGGAGATTATGGTGCATTATTTCAATTCCCATAGATCAAAAGGGCTTCATACAACTAGAGAATGCTTGTAAAACTTGTCTGGAATCATGGAATTCCTTCACTGAAAGGAGGCTCCAAAGACATGTCCTCCTACACATGACATGGAGCAGACTGGCGTGAGCCGGCTTGGCGGGCTGAGTGTTCGCTCCAGTGTGTGGGGCTCAGCCTGCTGAGCAGGCAAGCTGAACTATAGCTTTCCCTCAAGTATCCAGTGGTGTCAGCCCAGAGAAGCACTGAGTCCTAGTTGGAATGAATTAAAATGACTGAGAAGAAGCAAAGTAAATTGAACTGATTTCAGATTATTATTTTTTACACAGAAGTGATTTTGCTTTGTCAACTATAGACACTAGCTAAGCATGGTGCCTCTGAAAATCACCACAGACCTAGGAAGGCGAACGCAGGTCAGGGTGGTGGGAGGCAAATGCTTTTCCTAGGTAATGTAATCTTTTGTACTATTCAAATGATTTATTATGTGCATTACCAAATGATGTATGAAGTAAGGTAAAAAGTTACCAAAAAGAAAAGAGGAAATATCGGTGCATGTAGATAGACAGGACAACTATTAGCAACACTCTTACACTATGTTGGAAAGGTGTGGGATGGTTCCCCGCCCCCCACCTTTAATTTATAGATTTCCAGTGAAATCTGTTTTCATTTGGTTGCTGTGTTTTGGTAAGTTGTTGATCAATAGTTGAGTGCTCAATCCATTGTTGGGTTCTTGGTCGTTGTGAAATTGTTTGCCTACAAGGGTCTATAACCCCCCTTAGGATTCACAGCACCGATGGCCCTGAGCCTCTCCAATGTCTGTGTCTCCTGCCCTACTATGTGCAAGGCCACCCTCCCACTCCTCGTTCTGTCCACTTTGTGGAAACAGCAGAACAAAAGATGGTTATCACCCTTGGTTAATGTCATTTTCTAGATCCAGGTATTTTTATTTCCTCCATCTTCCCCACTGACATTTTCTTTATTTGAAGCTAAATGATCCTCAGGCTCTTTAAGCCTTCAAAATATTATCTTTCTTTTGGGGAGCTCAAAGCAGTTCACATGTATCATCTTATTTGTCATTTACTGGCTATCAGACTAGAACACAGCAGATAATTTTCTACTTTAATAGCAGAAGTTGAGGTAAAGGGATAACACAATTACCGGCATTGAGAAAGTGTTTTTATAGTAGCTAAAAATATTGTCTCATTACATCCTCAAGACAACCAAACGAGGTCAGTGATTCTACTACATATGAGAAAACAAAGGTCAAAGAAATTAACTCACTTGGGGTCACATGGGCAGTAACTGACCTAGAGGTCATGACCCCAAACCTATACTTCTTGATCAGGGCTATGCACGCCACCCATTGCCACTGAGAAATGTCCGTGAAGTCTGCCTGGTTCCAACAGGTTGTGGCTCAAGCAGTGACCAGCAATTTGTTTCTTCCTTCTGCTGAAATCTGCCCTTGAATCTGTGCAGACTGTGAAAACATGCCTTCTGAAATTGCAAAGGGAAGAAAATCTGTCCCTTACATTTTCTGAATTTTATCACTGGCTCATGTTGGTTAGATTCAAGTCTAAGCATCCTCCCCAGCAGCTGCTCACTGTTTCTCTGTGGGCTGTTTTCCACTGGGACTGGCCCTGGAGACCAGGGGCAGGTATACGCACACACTGTGCACAGTGGGCCCACCATCAGGTGTTGCAATGGCAGGTCAGCAAAACTGTGCAATGCTTTTCCTTTGCTCAGCACTTTCAAGTCATTCTTACAGCCACCATCCCATTTGATTCTATTTGTAACCATAAAAAGTGGACAGGACAGCTATTACTGTTCCCTTTTCACAACTGAGGAAACTGAGGCTAAGCAATGACTTGCCCACAGTTGCAAAGTTAGTAAGTGGCACAACTGGGACAGGTTCCAAGTCTCCAGGTTCCCCGCTCCTGGTTCAGTGCTCCTTCTTTCCTGACCCACTCAGGGGCATGGCAGCTTGGGCCACTCGTGGCCTGCAGCCTGTGTTTTCACACTTGACTTTGTCTTTCGACATGTAATGATTTCTGTCGGAGGCAAGCTGCGGGGTGGTAGGAAGAGGATGTTAGATTTACTGACCTGACCTTAAATTTTGCCTTAGTTTCCATACCACTTAAATCGGGATGCTGCTATTACCAGTATTAATAATACTCACAATACAACAGCTGTTTTGAGGATTTAAAATATGTAAAGATCTTAGCTCACAATCACTCAAAAAATTTTTTCCTAGTTGGACTGAAAATTCATCAGGATTGAAACTGTTCCCTTCAAGTTTCTTCTGTTTCTCTCTGGGCTTACCACAAAATTAGCCATCTATTTGAGACACACAGGCAGACCCAACTATGGAGTAATTTAAATATCCTCTGTACTGCCCATACCCCATCCCACTTCCAGAAGCTTCCCTCAAGGCTAACCCTCAGCCACACTTGGAAACAAATTAACTTTCCTCTTAAGCCTCTTCCTTTCTCTTCTTTCTGGGCTTGCTCCCACCCTCACTCCCTCTGTTCCACATCATTCTGACTTCAGTCCAGACCAGGATCTCTTCTCAGCTCATATCTAAGATTGCTGCTGCTCTCCTCAGAGGTCTGGTATTGAGCCCACATGGGGTCGGGGGGGGGGAGACAGGCTGCAGTCAACCCACGAGGCTCCACCATTTACTAAGCACACACCATTTCTACAAGAGGGATTCAAACCCCTACCTGAGCTCCTCCCCAGGGGCTGCGAGGCCAGATGAGATTCAGGGGGAAATTCTATGATAGACAAATGGAAGTGGCCCCAAAGACTTAAAGACAGGTTTTCAATAGAAAATGTCAGGTTATTAAATGCATTTGGGGCATACATCTTGCTGAATTGTACTCTTGCCACAAAACAGAAAGCTTTAGACTTGATTTAACCAGGCATTGGTAGTTGTTAAATTGCAAGTTTCTATGGGGGTGGGTAAACGGGTCTCACATAAAGCCATTAACAATTATTTAAGGAGAAGGTAATATATGAATGGGTTTCAGGCCCCTGTTGGAGACTAGTTTTTGAGAGGGGCATTGAATGAGGGCCTGTACATGGAGAGGACATTGCTAAGTGAGAACAAGACAAAGAACAGCAAAAAAGACCCAGGAAGAAATTCCATCCATCCCCGATATCTACTGAATATTCGACATGGAAAGATAAGCCCTCTGCTTCTAAGAAGCTCCCTCTATGGGACACACTAGGTATGTAACCTTAGTTAAAACAAGGAAAGATCCAGAGAATCTGCCTTTGAGAGCAGAATGAAATGCACGCTGTAATGGAGGTATTGGCATTGTGCTAAGGGAGCTGAGAAGAAAGAGCAATTACTGATGAGGGAGATTAGGAAAGTTTTCACAGAAACAGTGTCATCTGAGTCTGTCCTTGAAGGATGAGTTACTTCAATAAGCAGAGAAGGGAGGGAAGATCAGTTCTAATACAGTTCTTGACATGTGGTGGGTATTGAACTGATGTACCGGTGACTTTTGCACAGCTACCTGGGGAGAATCAGGCTCTGTATGCAACCTGCATCCTTGAAAGACATCTTGGTACAGATTTTAAAATCACAAAGGCAAGAAGCTTTGGGAGAAAACAACTACCAGCACAAACAGGAAGCAGTATAATAGCCAGGCAAGGAGGCAAGGAAGATAGTGCAGGCAGAGAAAAACAGGTGTAGTGCTCGGGTGAAAGGACACCAGGGAAGGGTGAAGGTGGGAGAGTGCAGGAGTCTGAAGAAATGAGGCTGAACACAGAAGTATTAGGGGAGGGTTATGTGAAATCATCACCACCAGTAAAATCAATCAAGGGAGGATTCATGAAGGTGGGTTTTGAGAAGTGCTCAAAGGTGGAAGTTGGATGCACAGCAAGGTTTGAGCTGAATGATTTTCCCCACAGGTGCCCTGATGATCAGATCAGAGGAAGCTGGCTTTGTCGTGATAACAGGTGTGATGAGCCGGAGATGCCTCTGCATGGACTTCAGAGGCAACATTTTTGGATCGGTGAGTTTCTTTTGAAGCTGGTCACCATTTGCCAAAAACTATCTAATTTCTTAGACAGAATATAGATGTTTATGGCTATGAAGCTTCCATTTGCAGAATACCTTGATGATTTATCTTCACTGAGTTACCTTTTCCATTCCTAAGAGTAAATGCCTAGGTTTATACATCTGGGGTTTGAACTCAGGCAGTCTGGTTCTGGAGCCCAGACTCTTGGCCTCAACTGCCCATTAGTATCCACTTTTGTGTCTAATACAGCACCTTGCATGTAGCTCCCAGGTCCTTCAGTCATGTAAATTCATGTTGTAAAGTGCATTAGAAAGGGTGAGAAACCATAGTCTGTTACTAGGCCTCCTTGACCTTGGGCAAGCCCCTCACTTTTCTAAACTTCAGTTTCCTCTAATGGAAAAAGCAAAGTGGGTGGACCATATGCCGTGTGGGGCTCCCTCTAGTTAAAGATCTCTAATGAATTGTCTTTGCCCAAACTGTGCTGGCTGGTCCTTTGGATAGATAAGCAAAGCACTCCTCCGCCTTTAGGCTGCAGGCGCATTCCAAAGGACTTTGAGACCATGCAGTAGTGGGACTGCTTGTTTCAGGAGCCTCCGACCGCCAGACAGCCCCCCTAGAAATCCCATGACAGTAGCGACTTTCTTTTCTACTTATTGCCCTGTTCCAGCATCTGTAATGGTATCGGACCCAGAGCAAGAGAAATATTTGTTGAAGAAATACAGCAAATTAAGTGTATACATAAATAAATAGCTTTTGATCACATACAGGCATACACACAGTTTATCATCTGTAAAATATTATGTCATGGCATTTAAGGATTAAATTAAAAGTGATATGTAAAAGTCCTAGCAGGCACTCAATAAAACCTGGTACTAGGTAGTAGCAGAGTGAGGGCACAAACCCAGGACATCTGTTGCCAAAGTTTATGTCCCTAACGCCTAAACGATATTATCTCTCTGATGTGAGGACCCTCACTGTATGTTTGACCCCGCAAACTATACCCCACCTCCTTTCTCCAGAGGGAGAGAGACCCAAACCACCTTTCAGCCAAAAAAGGTTCAAAGAGGTAGAGAGTAGGAAGGACGAAGTCGAAGTTAAGTCAGCCCTCCCTCGGGGAACCAGGCACAAGGGTGCTGCTGGCTCCGTCCACCCTAGGCCCAGCCTGCCATGCGCTAGGCCAGCCCAGCCCCAGGCAGGGCTGGGAGGGCCTGTGGTGGCCACTCACTGCAGGCAGAAGCTGTGTGGAGGGCTTAAAGCACCTGTCAAAATCACGTTTCCCCAGCAGGGGTTAAATAAACGTACCCAAAGGCGTTGTCCAGAGGGATGAAGCGCCTCCCAACACGGACATCCCTCGGGGACTCCCCGGCTGGTGCGCAGGGCTGGGGCCATGCTGGCTCGCCGCCCTCACCTGGCCCTCGCCTGCGTGGTTTTACCCTTTCAGCACCATTTCAGCCCGGAGAGCTGCAGGTTCCAACACCGGACGCTGGAGAACGGCTACGATGTGTACCACTCGCCTCAGCACCGCTTTCTCGTCAGCCTGGGCCGGGCTAAGGGGGCCTTCCTGCCGGGCACGAACCCCCCGCCCTACTCCCAGTTCCTGTCGCGCAGGAACGAGATTCCCCTCTTCCACTTCAACACCCCCAGGCCGCCGCGCCGGCACACGCGCAGCGCTGAGGACGACGACCCGGACCCCGACCCGCTGAACGTGCTGAAGCCTCGGTCTCGCGTGAGCCCCGCGCTGGCCTCCTGCTCCCAGGAGCTGCGCAGCGCCGAGGACCGCGGCGCTGCGGTCAGCGACCCGTTGGGTGTGCTCAGGCGCAACAGGGGCAACACTCACGCCGGGGGGCTGGGCGTGGAGAGGTGCCGCCCCTTCCCTAAATTCACCTAGGCGCAGCAGAAAGGAGCCCTTTTCAGCCCCCTTTCAGAAGTGTAAGCTATCTTTCAAGGGTTGGCTCCCCTTACGCGCCGAGGAAGGGGAGGTGGGGCGTGTGCGGAGTTAGCCCCTTCTGTCCATTTCCTTCCCCGGGAAAGCCCCTGAGAATCTAAGGCCTGAGAAGAGAAAGTTTCGACGCCTTCCTCGCCCCACTTCAGCCAGCTTTCTGAATTAAGAAGCCCCCTAAGTTAGAGTTCCCCTTCACTGAGGAGAGAAGAGCTTTTCCCCCGCCCTCTGACTCTCTTAATCGGTTTCGCACTGGAAACAAGGCAAGGCCTTAGCTCACGGCTCTGGAGGTGAAGGGAAGAGCCCATGCCAGCTGCTTCTCCGCTGTCCCTGCATTATGTGGCCTTGGCCCTGCTGGCCTTTGAGTTTGCAGCCTTGACCTAGAGCAGTAACTGCTGAACTGGGCAAACTGATAGGAAGCCTAATCTCAAGCCTTGGTTCTTCCTTCAGCATCTCTGCAGCAGAGCTGTCAAAAAGATTGGCAGTAAGTGGTCAGAACTTAAGTGGAATGCCCTGAGAACTAAGGCAGAAATCAAGCTAGAAAACTCAAGCTCCCCATGGGCTGGGAGCCCCTTGCCACGCTCTCAAGGTGGCCAAAGTCAGAGGGCCAAGAATGACCCTGGTCTGCTCCCCCACGGCTGCCCTACAACCCTGCCTCTGGCCCTTTCTTTGGCTCTAGCGAGTTGGGCCTGATGAAGAGCCTTGGTATTGACACCTGAAAATCTAGCCTGCTAGGGTTTGTTTTTCAAAATGGTAATAAATTCAACCTCTCCTAAAGGGGCCTTTCATAAAATCTGCACTTCCCTGTAAGGACGGGGGCCTTGAGACAATGGGGCTGCTTTGGGCTAGGTTCCCCATAAGCTGGCAAAGTCTGCCCCTTTGAGTGAAGAGGCATCAAGAGCTGGGGGAAAGAGAAGTCCAATAACCAGGGCACCACAGTACAGGAGTCAGGAAAAAAGCCTCGCTGCCAGCTCTTCACTATGATCTCCTCACTGCCCTGCAGCAGGGGCTAGGGGCCTAGTTAAAACACTTCTAGGCTGAGAGGTCTTAATGCACTTGGAAATCCTGGGGGCATTAAATGAAAACAGCCTCCAGGCCCAAGAGCCCCCTGTGCCACCCTGAGGGAAACCAAACTTCATTTGCCAAGCAGCTGAAGGGCACCAGCCAGTTGGGCCTGCTGCTCAGTCCTCATCCTAACCTTACCCGGTGCCTTAGGGCCTCCCACAACCGAGCCCATTTCCTACCTCTATTTAAGTGGCTACCCGAACAGCAGAATACTACTAACAAGCAAAGTAGATTTAAGCCACAGCTTCTTCTCAGTCACCCTTTACCCCACTGCTATCATGTACCCAACCTTAGAAATATCCATTCCTTTTGCTTATGAGAGAGACATTGGACAACTGTTTTTGCCTAATGGTTTTAAGCTGAACTTGAAGGACTTATTTTTCTATGAAGTACCAAAACTATAATACTGTATAGCAGTGCATGGCAAATATTTTCTTTACATAGTTTTCACTTCCTGTTGGAGATATTATAGTGTATAAAAACTATTGGAAGCACCCCAGTACAGCTAATGAAATGGAAAATTTCCAAAGGACTTTTAGTAGAAAATTGGTTGTAATCTTACAAACTCAATCTATCAGGGGCTCCGCTCTTTGGCAGAGCCAAGGTAGCACCCATAGTTTCCTACATCTGTTAGCCTGTGGCAATATTTATTTATTTATTTGGAAGACTTTGCCTATCGCTCTATATTTACAGATATTTATAAAATGTAACCCCTTTATCCTTCTGTTTAAAAGAAAAATAAAATTAATCTCAACTTCTGATAGATTTTTCTCTATGTATTACTACATAAAAGCACATCAGAATATGAGAATAGAAGGGATGATGGGAGAGGAGCACTGGGAAAATCCAGAGAAAGCAAAGTTATAAAAGAACATCAGCATTTAAAAAAAATTATTGAATTCATTGGTTAATAAGATTATATAGGTTTCTGGTGTACAATTCAAATACATCGTCTGTTTAGTGTATTGTGTGCTCACCACCCGAAGTCTCCCTTCATCACCACTTATCCCTGTTGTACCCTCTTCTACCTCCCCCACCCCCCCTTCCCTCTGGTCATCACCATACCATTGTCTGAATCTACTAGGGGTTGTTTTTTGCTTAATCCCTTCACCTTTTTCACCCAGCCTCTCAACACCCCTCCTCTCTGACAGCTGTCAGTCTGTTCTCTGTATCTATGAGTCTGTTTCTATTTTTTCTCATTAAATTTTACATATGAGTGAAATCGTATGGTGTTTGTCTCTCTCTGACTGGCTTATTTCTCTCAGCATATTCTCCAGGTCCACCTATGCTGTTGCAAAAGGTGAGTTCCTTCTCTTTCGTACAGCCAACTAGTATTCCATTGTGCAAATGCACCACAGCTGTTTTGTTCACTCATCCTCTGATGGGCACTTGGGCTGCTTCCATATCTTGGCTATTGTAAAGACACTGCAATGAACATAGGGGTGCATATATTCTTTTGAATCAGTGTTTCAGGTTTCATTGGTTTGTAAATAGATTCAGCAATTTTGATTAATTCAGGTGGAATTATTGAAACATTAAGGAAAATTTTTATCAATATTGGATTTCTGACAACTATAGCTCTAAAATGGTTTCTTTAAAGAGATTTTTTTTTTTTTGCTTGAAAAATACGCACTGACACAGCCACACCAACATCCCAGTAAATCAGATGCTCTGTACTTAGCACACAGTGTTAATGCCCTGTGAGACTTCACAGCAGGACAGATGATAAATCCGCAAGTCTTCTCTGATATTCATGTCCTCAGAAGTCCTCCTTTAATCTCTATCTGCCTAGCAACCAAAACACAGGAAGCAGAGTGCTTATTATACATTTACATCTCTGCAAATTTATGTCACCTTAGCCTACAGTTTTTCACTACCTGACTTTAGCTAAGAACTTCCCCCTTTTAACAATGTAAAAGAACTTAGCATAGGACTATTTTAACTGGTGTTTAAATGACCTTCTGACAAATTCTAAGGAGACTGTTCTCTGATTGCGCCCCTGTAAGAGTCAGAGTACCGAAGTCCTCCTTACTATGGGGAAGGGGAATGTACAGCCACCAGGGCACACACAGGAGACCAGGCCAAATGCCTTTGAACACATATAACAGACTTACAAAAGGCAGACTATTGGTTTTAAAATTCTCTCTTGTGTTTTTTTTACACAGATAAGTTGATCTCTGCTTGTAAGTTTCATCCCTCCCCAGCATTTCAATTTTGTTTCTGGTCCAACAGACTTTTTAAAATCTGGTAACTCATAGGAATGGAGCATTAGCAAAATTACCATTTGGGAATAAACAGGCCTTCTTCCAGTATAGAAGGAGAACTAAATGCTAGAGAGAGAGAGAGAAAAAACATATCCTGTGGGCACTTTCCTTCCACAGGCTCAAAAAGAGTTCCTTTTTCTGTCCATAGAAGTTGTTCCTAAACAAAGAAAATTTTAAAGGTTTTAACACAACACAATTAGTAGGGTAAGGGTGAGAGAAGGTAAGTGTGTATCTGTGTAATATATATGTATATATAAATGTGTTGTATTATATTATATACATGTGGCTGCCGGAAGCTTCACAGACTTTATCATAGGCAGGGTTTCTAGTAATTAAAGCCCAATCTCTATCTTCTCTATAGAATTATAAATCCTTGCTCAATAAAGATATTATCTCAGCCATCATACATATTTGTACAGATACTTAATGTTTATACAGAACTCTTGTGCATCTTAACTGAGTTAATATTTATAATCACATAGCCTCCACTTCTAGCCATCAAAGAGTAAATGCGACCGGACTTGCTGTCCTGCCTAAACAACTATAAAACAAAATATACAAGGCAACTGTCTTCAGGCGTGGAGTAGCAAAAGACTATGAGAAGGGAAACTTACAAGTTGATCCTCATGACCATCCCACTTTCTGACTTAGAAACACTTGACATGCGGGCAGATGGCAATCTCACTGAGCCGATCAAACAGCTGGACTCAGTAGCTGAGAAGAGGGAGCTATGCTCCAGGGAGATTTCAGAGGCCTTCATGAGCATTCGCTGCTCTGGCAAAGGACTGGGCCGCACATGCAGAGGGAGAAAGACCCAGCAGACCTAACAAAGACCATCTGCTCCAGACATGGGAGATGAACAGTGAGTGATACCAGAGGCCGTAAAGTGCTGAGAAACACTAGAAACCCGAGAGCCAGGGCAGAGATTCACTAAGTGCATCACGGTTTGACTGAGACCACAGAAAGGCCACACCTTAGAAGGAAAGACTACGTCCCAGAAAAAGGGATACACCCTAAAACTAAATTCAGTACTGGAGTTGACCTGCTCTAAGAGAGAATTATAAGGAAGCCTGTCCCTAGTTTAACTGTCTGGTAGAACAAAACTGAATACCCTTTAATCTGTAAAGGATGACAAAATCCAGACTCAATACATGGTATCATCTACACTTTATGAGAAGCAATAAGGGAAAATGGCCCATAATAAGAAAAAATACAATCATCATAAATCACCCATAAGATGACCTGGATGTTGGAATTAGCAAGGAAGAAATTTAAAGCAGCTATTATAACTAAATATAAGGACTTATAACTTCAATCATAATGAACGGATTAGAAATCTCAGGAGAGAAAGCAAATAGAAAAGAACCAAATAGAAATCTAGAATGAATAAATGCAATATCTGAAGTAATTATTAAATGGGCTTAATAGAAGGTTAGAGATGAAAGAAAAATGTAGCCATTTAATATTTAACAAATTACTAGCCCTGGCTGGTGTGGCTCAGTGGACTGAGCACTGGCCTGCACACCAAAGGGTTGCCTGTTCAATTTCCAGTCAGGGCACATGTCTGGGTTGCAGGCCAGGTCTCCAGTAAGGGGTGTACAAGAGTCAACCACACATTGATGTTTCTCTCCCTCTCTTTCTCCCTCCCTTTCTCTCTAACAATAAATAAATAAAATCTTTAAAAATACATTTAAAAGTTAAAATAAGCTATCTAATCTGAAGAGAAAAA